ACCAATGCATGGTTCACAAGACAACCGAAAAAAGCCGTCTGTCGCCACTCCAACTGCAACTGCGACCTACGCAGCCGTGGCCAGCGCTGGCGCCGCAAAACCACCCGGCTGGGTCCAGGCCTCTAAAAAGAAAAGTTATAAGGCGGTAAACAACAACAAATCGAAATCACCGTCTACAGTGTCACAACTAAAGTATGTGCTAAACAAGGTAACGCGATATGAGAAATTGCTAGCCGAGAAACCGGCCTTACCGAAACCGGTGAAACCAAGCGATAGCAAGTCACCACGGGGACGGCTATGCAACGTCATGATTTTCCACGCACCTGAGTCGACTGATCCCAGTCCCCAGGTACGCTATGACCATGATGTGCAATTCTTGCAGTCTCTAACCGACAAACTACTGGATGTTGGCGAACCCGGGTTACGAGTGAAACAAGTCACTCGTCTGGGGAAACAAGTTGATGGCAAGTGTCGGCCTCTGCGTATCGCGTTCGCCGACGAAACTGCCCCAAGGTTAGTACTGTCCCGCCTCGGTCGCCTAAAGGGGATGAAAATTCATGTCCGGCCAGACGTTGATCCCGCAGAACGGGAGCAGCTGAAGTCTGCCGTGATCGAACTGAAACGACGCACGGACGCCGGTGAAACTAACCTGCGTATCGTAAATTTTCGCACAGTTGCCCGGATACCCCGAATCCGGGTAAACAGAGCAATGACGCTACAAGCTCGCCCAGCGGTTCCTACCGCGGATTGCGTGTAGCGTTCATTAATGTATGCAGCTTAATGAACAAGCACGATGATCTGATCCGCTTCATTGTTTCACGTCGGCCAGATGTGGTTGGTTTGGCTGAGACGTGGTTGACATCTGAAGTGACAAGCGAAGAAATTGCGATCACAGACTATTCGTGCTTCCGCTGTGATCGACAGTCGAATAGCCGCGGTGGCGTCCTACTTTACCTCCGGTCTACCCTGTGCGGGAGACTCGTGAGCACCTACCGAAGCATTGACGGTCTATGTGAGCAGCTGTGGTGTTCGATCCACCTACGACGCGGCGAACTGCTTGTGGGTGTGGCATATCGTAGCCCACTGAGTAACGGATTGGATTGGCTCACACACGTCCAAAACCAAATGAGTCGCCCGCAGTTCCTGCTCACTGGCGACTTTAACCTTCCTCGAATCTTATGGCCTGAAGTTCAGCTTCTCCCTGGCCATAATGAAGTGGAGACAAGATTCGCCGAACTGGTACTGGAAACCGGAACGGTGCAGCACATCACGCAACCCACCCGCATAACCCCGCGCTCAATGCCATCATGCCTGGACCTGCTGCTAACCAGCTGCGAACAAACAGTGCATGACATAGAAGTTCTTGAGCCCATGGCGGCCAGTGATCACTCGACAATTATGGCCACTATAGACCTGCAGCTTCCATTTGTGCGTCCAGTGGCGCCAACGTACAACTATTGGAAAGCTGACTTCGATGGCCTCATTCTAGCTGCCAATCAGGTTGATTGGTCTATGCCACAGGATTCATCCGTTGAAACTTGCTGGGCAAACATTAAAGGAGCAGTGCACTCATTGTGTGCGCAATTTGTACCCCTCAAGACTCGGAAAGTTGGACCAATGAAACCCCATTGGTTTGACAAAGAGTATAACCGACTGTCTCGACAACGGCGTCGACTATGGAATGCGTTCCACCTGTCTGGCTCTGCCAATGACTTTGAGGCATACAAGCGACAACGAAACTTGTGCAACCGCACAAAGACGCGAAAACGCCGTCAGTTTGAGGAGCAGCTTGCTTGCTCAGCTAAAACTGCCCCGAAGCGCATATTTGCGTACGTGAAGCGACGCCTGAAGTCTGCAGGTGATGTGCCGGTGCTAGTGGGTTCGGACGGACAACCACTAAGTTCAAGCACCGAGCGTGCGTCCGCATTAGCGGCGCACTTCGCTTCTGTATTTGCAACTAACCAAACCTACGCGCCAAGCTCTGCCGTCGCCGCACCGACTGAGCTAACCGACTTGATCTGCGACGTCGCGGAGGTACATGGGCTAGTCAGCTGCCTAGACAGCACGAAGCCAGCTGGACCGGATGGTCTCCATCCGCTGATCCTCAAGTCCTTGTCAGCTGTGATCTCACCTGCTGTAACCGACCTGTTCAACCGATCCCTGTCCATAGGCTGCGTGCCTTGTGACTGGAAATGCGCCGTTGTCAAACCGATTCCAAAAGGCGGTGACACACGCAAAGTGGAGAATTACCGCCCTATTTGTTTGACCGCAGTATTGTCGACAGTTCTGGAGAAGATTGTGAAGAAGAGACTGCTCCAGCTACTGGAGACCAACTCTCTCCTGACGCCTGCACAGCATGGTTTCGTGAGAGGCCGCTCGTGCATCACTAACCTGCTGCTAACATGGCATGAATGGTTGCAAGCAGTAAACCAACGTAAGTCAGTCGACGTGGTATACGTCGATTTCAGTAAGGCCTTCGACAGAGTGAATCACGAGATCCTCCTTCAGAAACTGAGGGAGTGCGGAGTCGGAGGCTCGCTGCACCAATGGATCCGTGACTTCTTAGTTGGACGGAAGTGGAGGGTGCAAGTCCACAGCCACCTGACCGACTGGTACCCGTCGACGAGCGGCGTTCCTCAGGGGACGGTGCTTGGCCCCATTCTCTTCCTGATTCACATCAACGACGTGCCCAATCTCCTTCGGTCGCCGTGTGCCTTGTTCGCGGATGACCTGAAGCTATGGAGGGTGATCCATACGTCGGACGACTTTGACATACTTCAGCAGGACCTCGACCGCCTCTCCATGTGGTCCGCCGAAGTAAGTTTGCCCATCAACTCGGCAAAATCGCTACTTCTGTGCCTCGGTAAAGGTGGAGCGGGCCGATCGTACACTCTCGACGGCCAAGTTCTACACCTGACGCATTGCGTCAGAGACCTTGGCGTTATACAACGTTACGACATGAAGTCACTGGACAACACGGACAATATGTATCGCACAGCATTGCGTTCGCTGTGGGCGCTGAAACGTAGCTTCTGCACCTGGTCGAAAGAGATTGCCACTCGTCTCTTCACATCCATTGTACGACCGGTGCTAGAATACGGCTCACCCGCCTACTGTCCGTTGACGAAGGGCGAGATACACAAGCTCGAAAGAGTACAACACATAGCCACACGGCTCATTCCCGGTCTTCAGAGTGTGCCGTATGAAGAAAGATGCAGACAATTGGGTCTGTATACTCTAGCCTACCGCCGCGTGCGAGTGGACCTCATCATGACCCATCGGGTATTGCATCTGGGTGCTTATCCGATGCTGAGGCCACTGCTCCATGTCCGTGCGTCAAGCAGCACACGAGGTCACCAGTACAAATTGGTAGTCCCTGACCTCAAGTGGGTAGCTCATCCCTTGTGTCTTGAGCGGCGAGTGGTGAACATGTGGAACCGTTTGCCCTCGCAGATAGTAGAAGCGAACTCGGTGTCGGAATTCAAACGATTCCTGGACGCGCACTTTGCGGATGCCAGATTCGACGAAGCCTTCACAGGAAACTGACGAAGGAATCGTTCAATGATTATAACCCATGGAGCCCGTTAATCCACCAACTGCAGCTTCCGAAACGATGCCCATCCGTAATAGGCGGCGGAGCTGGTGAAGGACTCCATGTGGTTCATCCAAGAATATATCGTAAGTACATGGAGTTTTTTTTCTATGCTTGTAAATATTTTACTTTTTTCACCTGGGCTAGCTCACTACTACAGGTAACACTGTGTCAGTGGGACATGTCCTACATTGAGATATAGCTACATAGATGTTCAACATCTTTCTCGCTATCATGACAGTAAAGTAAAGTAAAGTAATTCTCTGGAAAATTTCCTAGCTCGTCGACACCAAAAATAAGTGTAGTGGATGTAACTTGCTACTCCTGGAAGAGAGCCTAATATTCTAGTGGTGTAAAATATGGCATAACAAAACCGACAAGGAGCGCTAATCTATTCAGCGCTCGTTGTTAGACTTGTAAACTGTCACAGACCTGGACAATATTGTCGGTGTATTTTGAGTTGAGACGTCGATAGCCAGGGAAGCTACACACGTTTGGTACGTCACTTCCGGCGAACTCAGTTTCCCTAGCTTTGTCAATAGTAAAATTAAAAATGGAAAGTGAAAGCAATCATTCATGTCTCACATAGCAAAATAAATAGGAGAGTGGTAATAGCCGGTCGCAATATTTTACTTTGTCGGAAACATGGATGTGAGCAGCTTCTAGAATATTTCTTACGCACACCTTTATTTGTTGGAGGAGAAGGAAAAACATACCAAACTTGAAAAGTCAAAGACCATAGTAAAATCGAGCAACATTCACAGAGACTCGTGTGTAGTGTCGGTGCACTATATATAGGGCATTAGAATTTCTTTGTGCAACGCAGCGACAGGCAACAAGACAAACGTGTCAAATCAAGCGAATTAATCTTATGGCATCATCAAACGTTGTGAGAAAAGCGGTTGTTTTCTCACCTGCAACTGCAACCTGACATGCAGCTGCTAGAAGTATAAATGAAGTGTCCATTAAACAATGTAACCAATGTCAGATAGAATATGCAAGAAATGTATCCGTGGCGTAACAGTAGTTTGGGCCGAGACATTACCCCCATGCAACTGTAGGAGTTTCACTAGTTAGGATACTACCAGCAATACTGTTGGTGATGATAGGCCACAGGTGGTTGTGTAAGAGGCTTTAGCTGAACCGTATCAGACCAGAAAAGAACCGGTTGGATGAGAAGCGTGGTTTGACATAACGGTTCATTAGTGTTTACGCACAATTATCGCCACAGTGAAGAAACATTTATTGATCTATGAGATAAAGGAGCATGATAAAAATATACAAAAACAAAGGTGAAGTGCCAAAAATGGTCAGAGACATAGTTGCGTCTGTGGCGCCAGTGACCAAAAGAAAGATTGAGTTCTCGGAAGCAACAAAATACAAAAACAATGTACAACTAAAAACTTACGAAAACTCCTTTCATTTCATTGAAGACTACACCTTTAACAAGCAATTTTGTGGACGGCTCCATGAGTTTCTCAGGTTCCAAGCGCCACCCTTCCTGCCTTCAGAGAAAGATGTAAAACTTAAAAAAGGTCTTACATGAAATCAAACTCTGTTAACTTTGGATTGAAGACAGCATCAGAATATACAGAGAGCAGATTCCTGAAGTCGGCATCATTCATTGTGGAGAATGGATACATTGTCCAATCGCTAGCTAAAGGTAGCATAAGCTAAAATGTAGAAGCGAACCGGTCAAGGCGTTCATGAAGTTTGCTTGGCTCCTGTGCAACATCTTGAAAAATGGGTCGCGGACAGGGTATTTCCCAGATCCACATAGCACGGTGTGCTCCAGTATGTGAGAAACACCCGTATTGTTAAACGGAGTTGTCCGAAACTGGATGCTGTTCAAAGTTGGACTAACCCAACTGACAAACCTGAAGGTTTTATTTGAATCATCCCTTTTTAAATGCCAATATTTAGCGGAAGTTTTATCGTGTACCAATTCCGCGACAAGCAACCTAAACTCAGGAATATCAAATGACTATGTAATCAAAAATGTAATCTTCGCCATTACCCTTTTCAAGTGGAATCCACCGAGGGCCTTACAAACCCCCAACTGTGGCATGGCCAGTGACCTTGAAAGGGAACGTCTAAATCACAGAAAACAGCTGATTGCAATTGTGGAGGTGGACTCTAGGCGTCTCTAGCAATAGCATTAGAGTAAGTGCATAGGTGAAGGCATAACAATTACAAAGGAAGATTCTAAAACAGGTCAAAGTCACCGATAGCGAACCCCTGTGTGTTTTCGTCCTGAGAAAAGTTGATTTGGTCCGTTTTCTTGTGATTCAGACGGGCTTTGAGGTGCGCAATATACTCGGAATCTTCTGCTGGTCTATCTATCATCATGGTGTCCAAGTGTCTGGATTGTGGTAAAGGTGTCACTACCCGCTCAAAGGCCGTTCAGTGCTCATTCTGCGACGGCTGGTTGCATATCACTTGTGGTATCTCACCAAATTTTTACGAGTGTCTTCTGATGTATACCGCATCCTCAGTTGGGATCTTTGTGACCCCTGTCTTACATTAGTCAACACCCAGCGGGCTCAGTCTGGTTTACCTGAGTTTACTCCCCGCTCTGCTAGTGCTCACTCCGATCCCCAACCGACTGTTTCCCAAAATTCGCCTTCTTCTTTCCCTTCTTTGTGCGCTGATTTTGTTACGTCAGTTGTTAAACAAATTTCCTCCCCGCCATCAGAGCCACACATTTCTAGCGCCCAGCCTAGTAAGCTCCTGCCGAAGACGTTTGCGACCGTCGTCAAGGAGAACATGGTGGCTGCTCCCGCAAGCCGGATTCCCGTGGTGCAAAAATATAAGCCTATAGCCAAGTCTCTGGAAGACAAAGTGTCACCTCCAAAGCGCGGGCTGAAATCGGTTCTTCATCGGATTGACCATTTGGAGAAACTGCTCCAGGACAAGCCGCCTTCCAAGCCAGGGATCCCCGAGATCGCCAAAGTCCCTAACCGGGAACGTTGTCTCATCAGGTTCAAGTTCAAGTTCAAACGGGACTGGAACGATAGGATAGAACACGTGAGTGTTCCTTCTTCGGCGGGTCGTTGAACCAGGAGTTAGCGAACTTTGAAATACTGATGGACCTAAAACAAAGACCGCAACACACCCTGTCCAACCAATTAATGCCCACGTATCCTGCCCTAGCAGTCCCTGCTGGGTCGGTTACGTGAAGTAAGAAAGAGAAAAAGTAAACGCAGGAGGCAAAAGAGAAAGTGGTAAGAGCTAAGCAAATGGAATACCAAGATATTTGAGTCAATAAAAAAAGAACTGAAAAATGAAGGTGAGTCAGCTAGGAAAAAGGAAAGGTTTGCTGTTGCCACCCAAGAGCATCGAGCTGGCGCGCAAAACCCTTAACCGTAGGTTCCCTAACCACGTGATCTGGAAGAGAATTCCAGCGATTTATAACTCGGCGCGATAGACGACTTTCCGTCCTAATCCTATCAGACCGTTGTTTATGCAGGTTCAGTGCGTGACCGCGGAGACTAGGTAACGTAGCGGGACTAAAAAGCCCTGACAAGTCCGGGCCAATCTTACTCGTCAAAATACGATAAGTGAGAATCAGGTCCCCTCTTATCCTTCGGTAGTGCATGGAGTACATCCCCAAACTGAGCAAACGTTCAGGATACGTCTGTCCCCGTAGACCCTGCACTAACCAAGTGCCCACTCGTAACACCCTCTCCAAGTCCATTTTGTCTCGGTTAAGACATGGTGGACAAGCCTGAATACAATATTCCAGGTGGGGTCGGACGAATGCCGAAAATAGCTTCACAAACAACTTGGCCGTTAAGATTCCGAAAGAGCGGCGGATAAACCACATCATACGAAACCCTCGACAAGCAGCCTTCTTCCAGTTGTCTCCAGAATGAAGTGCTGATGCGTGTACGACTCCTAAATCAATCTGCTGAGTGACAACAGGGAGTTCACCACCGCCAACAACGTATCTGGTGGGGGGATTTGCAGCTCCGATTCGGAGAACAGAGCACTTGGCCCTATTTATGGGCATCAACCATAAGATAGACCATTCCCAGAGTCTATCCAAGGCACGCTGAATTGCCTCAGGACCCCCCGGGATATCCACAATATTCCAGAGCTTAAGGTCGTCAGCAAACATTAATGATGACACCCCTAGCTCTCCCGGCAAGTCATTTACATAGATCGCGAACAACAATGGCCCCAATACCGAGCCCTGCGGAACGCCACTAAGGACAGCTTGCCTGAGCGAAAGGCTACGCCCCACCCGTACGCACTGTTCCCTCCCCTCAAGGAAGGCAGACACCCATTGAAGGGCGCGACCAGATATCCCGTAAGATCTCAACTTTAGTGAGAGCCGAAGATGTGGAACAGTGTCAAAAGCTTTCGAAAAATCTACGAATAGCACGTCTACAGCGTGGCCACTGTCTACCGCTTCGGCCCAGCTTTCACGAGCTACAAGTAAATTAGTCTGACATGAAAATCCTTTGCGGAATCCATGTTGTGCAACACTGAGAAGGTTGAATCGATTCAGGTGGTTCTCCACTGAATCCCTTATCAGCTTCTCGAACAACTTGACTACTACGCTTGTCAAACTGACAGGCCGGTAGTTCGCGGGTAGAGCGCTGTCACCGCCCTTAAAAATCGGAGAGATGATTGCCTTCTTCCATTCCGAAGGTAGGCTGCAGCTGTCCAGCGATATTGAAAACACGCACGTGAGCGGACCACTCAGCTCAGTGGCCAGTTCATGCAACAGCTTCGGATGAATTGAATCAGGACCGGAAGCTTTAGAGGGATTAATGCCTTGCAGTAGCTCGAAGACCTGAGTCTCCGTTATGCTAAATTCAGCTAAGCAAGAATCCTCTGGAACTCTTGAAACCAATTCAACCTGCGGTAAAGAGGTCTCCCGAGCAAAGACCGCAGTATACTGATCACTCAGTATACAAGCCTTGTCATAGTCAGTTTGCGCAGGGGTCCCGTCTGCTCGCAATAAAGCTGGTATAGACAATTTTGCCCCGCTGCGTCTTTTAACGTAAGCAAAAAACTTCTTGGGATTAGCTGCGGCCGAGTCCGCTAAACCCTGCTCGTATTGGAGACGAGCAGTTCTGAGATGTTGCTTACATTTATTTCTATTCTCTCGATAACTATCATAGGTACTGGCTGATGGAGCTGCTTGGTAGGTTCGCCAGCATCTAGACCGTTACTTGAGTAGGTACTTGCCTGTGGTATCTATCCATGGAGGCTGTGCCCTTAACCCTCTTTTCCTAATGAGTGGAATATAGGGTGCGGAAACCTCCGTAAGGTATGCCTTAAATTTATCCCAGGCTAACTGGACAGAGTCAGCCATCGAAATCTCACAGTTCAGAACTGAAGCCTTAGTTCGCATTGCACTAAAGTCCGCCCGCCAAATATTCGGAAGTAATTCAACAGCGGTCTCTTGGTGCCTTGAAAGTGCACATCGAAAGGATATGCATACGTGATAGCTGGACCCTAGAGGTGCACCGCATGAAACGTCAGTCACGAAGTCCAGGGACTTAGCGAAAACCAAATCCAAAGTAGATGGCATTTGGTTGTCCATATACCTAGTGGAAAAGTCAACGAACTGGTGCAAAAGGCACTTGGAGAGTCAGTTCAAGGAAGTCTGCACCGAATGTTCCTAATGCCGAATTGCAAGAAAGGTCGGCCCAACAGACTTCCGGGAGGTTGAAATCCCCTAGAACTAAACACTTATTCGCAGACTGAGTGCGAATAAAGTCAAGTATCCCCCTGGAGGAACTTCCAGGACTTCTGTATACCACTATAACTGTAAACTGGGTAGAGGAAGTGCACAAAACAGCCGATAGAGCTTCAACAGTCTGATCCGACGACTGGAAGGTGCGAGTCCTCAACACATCTAAGTTACAGCTCACATACAGTACAACGCCTCCACCTTGGCGACCAACGGAGCGATCAGTTCTAAGCAGCGCGTAGCCAGGTAAATATACCTCACCGTCCGTGATATCCGGAGACAACCACGTCTCAGTGAAAGCAAGTATGTCGGGACGAGATTTGTCTACAAGTAGACCCAACTCGTGCACCTTGTTCCTTAGGCTACATGTTCAAGTTCAAGTTCAAGTGGGACTGGAACGATAGGATGAATCCCGTAAGTGTTCCTTCTTGAGCGGGTCGTCGATCCAGGAGTTGATAGGGGTGCTCCGACTTCTTGATGGGTCCAAAAGGAAAACACCCGAAAAACACCCTGGTCCACCAATTTAATGCCCACGTTCCTAACATTAGCTGTCCCAGCTGTGTCAGTTACGTGAAGTAAGAGAGGAAGGAGAATCGAAGGTAAGGGAGTAGGGGAAATCAGTTAAAAGAAGAGAATAATACCAATGACGAGGAAAAGCAAAGAAAATAGAATCGAAGTATGAAGATGGGAATTTGTCAGGAAAACGGAAAGGTTTCGTGTTGCCACCCAAGAGCATCTAGTTGACGCTCAAACCCCTTAACCGTAGCTTCCTTGACAACATTTTCAGGAAGCAGGTTCCAGCGCTCGATGACTCGACGCGATAAGCGTGTCTCCGCCATAACTCGATCGGACCGCGGCTTGTCCAGCTTCATACAATGCCCGCGGAGACCAGATAATCTAGCAGGACTAAATAGCATGGACAAATCAGGGCCAACCTTCCCAGTCAAAATACGGTAGGTTAGGATTAGGTCCCCTCTAATCCTTCGATAGTGCATTGACTGCATTCCCAAACTAAGTAGGCGTTCGGGGTACGTTTGCCCTCGTAATCCCTTGACCAACCTAGTACCGACACGCAACACCCTTTCTAGTGCCATTTTGTCCCGGACAAGGCATGGTGGACAGGCCTGGACGCAATATTCTAGGTGGGGTCGCACAAACGCTGAGAAGAGCTTCACAAATACATCAGCGGTTAGGGTCCCAAAAGAACGACGGATAAACCACAACATCCGGAACCCTTTACTAGCCGCACGTTGCTAAGTACTACCTCAAGGAAGTCGGCACGACCATCCCTGGGTCGTGCGCCATCAGGATTGGTTCTGATAGGGCGGAAAGTAATTTCCGGCTGACCACCTGAAAACCCACCAGACGGAGGCCTTGTTCACCAGCCGCCCGTCTAGTTTTGAGG